TATTATACAAATCACGCACATTAAAAACGAAAACAACACACCTTAAGAACGAAAACAACACACCTTAAGAAAGAAAATCAAGCACCTTAAGTTTAAACAACTACGTACAAAATACACTCACCTTAAGCACAAAACCCACGCACCTTAAGAAGGAAAACCACACACCTTAAGAAGGAAAACCACGCACTTTAAGTTTCAACAAATACTCACATTAAACACACAACCCACGCACCTTAAGTACAAAACACATGCACATTAAGTTTCAACAAATAATCACATTAAGCACAAAACACACACACCTTAAGCACAAAACTCACACACCTTAAGCACACAACCCACGCACCTTAAGCACAAAACCCACGCACCTTACATTTGACCTAAATGCAAAAATTACCAAATTGTCACCGCATTTTTTTTTATAAATTTAGTAATCCTAAACATTGATTTAAGCAAGATCAATGACTCAGATTTAACCACACAACCGTACCTGGGCGCACACACACACACTTATTAAAGAGTGGTGTAAATAGTAATTAGGATAGTGTACATAAGGTTTCAAAAAAAGGATAGTGTACATAAAATTCTCCTATTTATATTTGTTATAAATATTTATTATTTATTATGACCCACTATCTCATATTCCCATTATCTTCCCCCATTATCCCATCTTAGTCATTTTACTCATTTATGATGTTAAGTGTAACAATTACCTTTATATATATACTAGTATTTTGTATGCGCGATGCGCAAAAAATAGGTGCCCAATATTAATATATTATATTAAAATTTTAAATTTATTTAGATTTTAGATATTTAAATTATTCTAAATAATAATAATAATGTAAATCATTTTTATAAATTTGATATTTATATTTATGTAATAATTAACATATAACTCAAATATTTAATGTGTATAAATTATTATTGATGAAGAAGAAAAGAAAATATATGGTGGATGCATGTACATGGTAACAATAGTGAAAAAGATAACGGAAGTTATAACGGTAGGGGTATGTTTGTCCAAAATATTTTAATGTACAACCTTTATAGCATAATGTACAAAAAGACTTAACGGAAAAAACGGACATAAATCAGGGGTATAACTTTCATTCACACTTATTATGTTTTAATTTAATTAATTAATATATATATATATATATATATATATATATATATATATATATATATATATATATATATATATATATATATATATTGATACCATGATCAATAAAATGGTGGTTTTGAGAATTCCTGCATATTTCAGTTTTTATTGTTTTCTCTGTTCCTTTGTATGATTTTGAGTGGTGTTCTATGTGTATGATCAATGTTGCAAAAAACGTTAGGCGCCCACTAGGCGACGAGGGGGCGTCTAGGGCGCCGATTTTTTTATTTTATTTTATTTTTATTTTTTAGTTTTTTTTCAAAGAAAAATTAAACTGAAAATGGTAAAAATTCACTAAAATAAAACATAAGGTTTCTCTAGTTTTTTCTTACAAATTATTTACGTAAGTGGTTGTAAAATCATTCAAAATATTGTTGAAACCATCAAAATACATATAAAAAAAAAAATTAAAATTAAGAGCAAAAGAAGCATTTTTTTTGAAGAAATTAGAGGGTCAAACCGCCTTTAGCAGTTTGCGGTGGATAGATTTCAAAAAAATACACAATTTCACACTTTACAACGCAAAAAAAAAAAAAAATTAATTAATTAAACGCCGATTTAGCCGGCTAGGCGGTCTAGGTGGCCGCCTAAACCGCCTAACCGGTCGACCGTGGAAGAGGCCGATTCCTACCTTTCTCGCGACGGCCGGTGAGCGTCTAGGCGTAATTTTTACAACCATGTGTATGATCATACAAGATTTAAACGATAATACACAGTAATTTTATAACAATATTTAAAATTTCCCGCATAAATTTACATAATACTGAGTAACTTTATAATATTTTATATTTATTAACTAATAATTACCCAATATAAATTTAACTAAATTGGAAATTAATGGAATAAAATCAACCATGAAATTGGAGCCCTAATACTTGATTGTTCCTCCTCGCTAGTCGCCAACTCGCCATCGTCTCCTGGTTACATCCTAGAGAAGAAGCTCTAAAACTGTTTTTATAAGGAGGTATCAAATCCCTTACCCATACCCATATGTATATATAGATAATTTTTTATATATTTTTTTTTTGTTTATATTTCTATTTTTGGGTGTTTCTCCATTGGTGCAGATGATGTTGGACTCTCTTAATTTCTGGAAAACATTTCATTTTTCATCTTTCATTGTTAAATAGTTCAAGCCTTTCTTGTATTCTGTTGAAATTGTTTATGGAGTTTTGAAATCTGAGGGCTGTATTGAGTAACCTTTCTCATATTGCAAGTATTTCAAAGACCCATTTGATTTTTGGGTGAGATTTGGGGATGGATGGTTGTACTTTGCATTACAAGCTCAATCTAATAATCCAATTATCACTGTTAGGAAATCTTGATCCATTATTAGACATTGGATTTAGAGAATTACACCCTATGTGATGGGCTCTTTGTAGGCACAACCTAAGAAGCTGCTAAATCACCTTAATTTACCTTTTCATCATCTTATTCGAGTCGGGGTGTGAGGGCCTTTGGGTGAGGGATTTCGAGAGAAATGGATAATGTTCTTGCAGTTGTATACTTGTATTGCAGGGGGTGTACAAGTGATTGTTTGGAGGTCTTTTTGTCTCTTTCAATTGTTGGAAACTTGATTAGTCTATTCATAATTAGCAAATTCAATAACTGTATCATTCCTATAGTTTAATATGCTTTTGATTTCCATTTTCTTGTGACAAATTGCAGATGATTGTTTATAATTTCTATCTTCTTGCAATTGCAGATGATTGATTATAATTCACTCCATTTTTAGTTTCTTAGAACTAAACATCTTCACTTCATCACCTTTTTTTTTCTTCTAATAATTACACATTTACACTCTTTAGTACCAAGAATGAGATCGGTCATTTGCACTCCATTTAATTGGTTTGTTTGTTAAGTTAATCGCGGGATGTGCCTCAACTAGTTTACAGGGTCCCAAAGTTTGTTTGTTAATTGATCCCCCTCGGGCGTAGTTCAACTCAAGAATTCTTCTAAGGTAATTGCCTTGTGTCCTTTGAGGCATGTCTTCCTGACCTTTTAGTGCAACTAGCGGAGCTTCTAAGAGTTCTCCTTTAATAAAGCTTGCCATCAATAGGAATCTATATATATATATATATATATATATATATATTCTTGATGTCGAGATCAAATACCTTTCAAGGAAACTCCATATCCCATGCATGCATTTGAAGGGGAATAAATTCTGTCATACTATTTGTTTTGCTCATGCATGAAAATACAGTAACTGAATTAGGGCTGATAGTTTATCTGTGCAGTTCTTGTGGTGCCAAGAAGAAATGGGTAGTGAAGGAGGTGCGATTGAGAAGCAAAGCTCAGCAGCTGCTGGGAATCCCGCAACATCTTCATGCAGGAGAAAGAAGTCTGAAAACGCTACTTTTGTAGAGGATGTGCGAGATCACATTGACGAATTCATAAATGCTTCCATGGATGAACACAAGACGTGCTTCCAGAAGACTATCAAGAAGGTTAGTTATTAGTTACCTTTTTGTCATTCTCGTCGTTATAAATTCGTTCATTGTTAATGGTAACGCGATCTCACAGATGTTTGGAATGTCAAAAGTTGTCGCCGAAAGGAATGCTGAAGTGAAGGAGGTTGAAAGCTCACTTCCTCTCCGAACAGTGGTATCTGACTAGAAAATTTCCCAGGCTTTTCTCAAACAATTTCTACTTCAAAGGTTCTTGAAATAGAAGGTGGTTTTCCTCCCATAATGTAAACAAGCAAATTTTTCGGGGTGTTTTCCGTTGAAACTTTTATATACTTTCAAAGACTTTTAACTGATGAATTTTAAATGACTTTTATATAATCTAAATGACTTTTATATAATCTTTTAAACTTTGTTCGTATATCTATAAAAGTTCATGATATAACTAATAAAAATATTTCTTTGAACTAAGCAAACAACTAAGTTTGCCAATAAATGTTTAATGATTTTATAGAACTCTACTACTTCAAATTCATCATCTACTTATTCTTCCTCCCCAACAACCTTTTCAATTTCATTATTGTTGCATTATGTCAATTACCTAAACGGTACTCCATATATTAAATAATACCTATAAACAAAATTATTTATATGAAACAATACAAAAATATATATTTTTTAAAAGTAAAATAAAGAAAAGATCTATTAAAAAAATAATACTAATAATAATACTTCTAGTAAAAAATACTTAACAATTACCTTTAAAACATAAAACAAAATTTATGAACTAATAATAATAAAGAAAAATGATCCAATAAATTCATAAATTTTACCTGAAAAGTCAATTAACTCCCTAAACTTTTAAAAAAGTGCAATTACACGTTTACACATTTTAACATGTTATATTGAGGCAATAAAGTCTAAAAATCGGTAAATGACTTACTGTTACTTGCCATTAAGGTTCCAACATAAATTTTATCTATCTCTGGCGGCCGGCGACAATCAAACTGTTGCCGATTACCAGAGAAGGTGACCAACTGGTTGCCTTCCCCAGTAGAGCAACTAGTTGGTCACCTAGAGATGGCGACCACTAGGTGGTTGCCTTCTTCGGCGAAAGGCGACCACTAGGTGGTTACCTTCTTTGAGATGAGAAGGCTAATTGTTCACCTTCTCTACGGAAGGCGACCAACTAATCACTTTATCGGGGAATATGGCCAGTTGGTCGTCTTCCGCTGGAGAAGGCGATCAACTCGTAGATGGCAACCGGAAGCAGTTCGACCATCATTAGAGATGAATAAAATTGATGTCAGAACCCGAATGAAAGAATATAATAGTAAGAATATAATAGTAGGCTAATAGCAGGTTATTTACAGATTTTTTTTTTAACTTTATCGCCTCAATATACCATGTTAAAGGGTATAATTACATTTTTTTAAAATTTAAGGAGCTAATTTACTTTTGAGTTAATTCTACCGGAAATCCATTGTATTTGGTGACAATTCCAAATTTAATCCCAGACTATCGTTTTTGCCATTTTACATCCCAGACTATCCTTTTTTGAATATTTTTAGTCATTTTCATGATTTTTTCTATTTTTAGTAAGAACATTTTTGTTTCTTCATATTTTTCTTTTGTTATTTTTCCGATTTCAACTAGTTTAATTGGTTTGAAACTTTACTAAATATTGGTTGAAAAATATAGTTACTAAAAATCAGAGGTTACCTAAAATTCTAAATTAATTAAACTGGTTGAAATTTTGAAAAAATAACAAAAAATAAAAATATGAAAAGACAAAAATGTTCTTACTAAAAATATAAAAAATCATACGAAGGACTAAAAGTGTACCAAAAACGATAGTCTAGAATGTAAAATGACAAAAACAATAGTCTAGGACTAAATTTGAAATTGTCTTTTGACAAAAACGATAATCTAGGACTAAATACACTTTACTTTTTAAGTAAAATTTACAAATTTATTTGACGTATGAACTTGCATTTTGACAAATTGAACGTTATCCAAAGATCTTATCATAACATAGTTATTATAAATATATCCTTCTTTGTTTTCATGTTCAATCGTTCCAAAACATTGAAACAAGGATCACTATCTAACCATTTTCTTTTTTTTTTGCACCAAACTATGGTTATCGACAACAATTGAATGAAGAATATCAACTACTTATATTTGTGAAGAAAAATCTACATAAATTATAATCTGAAATCTGAAAATCTATAAAACTCAATAAATTTTTTAAATAACGATAGACTAAAAAGTCTAGATCAAATACTTTTCAAATCAATAAAAATTTACAAGTCTTGATTGAACACACCCCCTTAATTACTCTGTTTAGTGTCTTACAATTGGTTGCAGTTAGAACTTGAAAGATTCAATAGAGTAATATTTTCACAAGAATTCCTGTACAATCAACTTCAAGATTACTGAGATTTTGCAAGAAAACAAACCCAATTAAATCTATCTGCTGCTGAAGAATCATCAAAGTAAATGGCATGCATGAATATCAACAATATTTATATAATATAAACTATAAAAAAACAAAAATTAAACAGTGAAGGCCATCAGCCCTCTTACACCAGACAAGTAGACACAATCACAACTACTGGATTACAACCAACTAACACTACCCATATATTAATCAGAATTGTACTAAGAAAGACCATACTTCCAAACTAAGAAATTTACTACCTTAGATTAAAACTAGAAAGCAATACCAAATTCTTACAGACTACACAAATTACCATTAGCTTATCAGTTCATCCAAGAATGAAATTAGCAAGAGGAATAAAGAGACTTCAGACGATTGCAGTGCTGATTCGACCTTCCCCTTGAAAAAATAAGGGAAGATTACTGCGAAACAGAGCAATCAACCAAACTTTCCTTTCCATTAACTACTTCATCTTCACAGTAATAGCATCCCAAGAAACCATTTACAGACCCTTTCTTTTCTGGAAACTTAAGACAGATCGAGCCTCAGAAGACGGCGTAAATCACAGGTTGCGTAGTCGTTGTTCTCAACAAGGATGGTTTTCTTCTTGAAGAAGCCTGGGACGGGCAGGGAACTGGGCGGCGGAGAGGAATCGCAGGCCGATCCGGCATAAAAGTCGGCGATGTTAAACTTTTTCGGCGTCGTTTTACTCTCCACTCTTTCAACACAGCCCTTGGGCTCAACCTTCTCCCCGATCTTCTTCAACGGCGCCGTTTCACCCAACCCTTCACCGCGTTTCAAAATCCTCACCTGCCCCACCATGAAATCCCCCCTCGTCTCCGGCGGCGAACTAGAGAAACTGACACCGCCGTTTCCATTTCCGCTACCACTACTATTCCCCTTCTTCTGCGGGCTGCGCTTCCGCCGATCCAACTTCCCAAATCCACGGCCGGGTTTCGGGTTCGGGTTCGGGTTAGGGTAAGAAGAGAAATTCCTCTTGGAATTCATAACCGAGTTAACAAAACCACTGTCACGATAATCAAATTGTTTCTGCAAAGCGTCTTGTGGACGAAGAACTTCCACTGAACCCATCGGAAAAATAAAACCCTAAATTCCGACAAGAAACGAAAATCAAAACAGAAAACTAAGAACAGATCAGATCGGAGGAGAAAAGAATAAAGAACTTCAGATCGTCAGCCGGCCGTTCGGCTCTATAGAAACGTATATCTATGACTGTATGTATATACAGACAGCTGATTCAAGATAGGGTTCAAAGATGTGGAGAGAAACAGAGAAGAAGATAGGGTCATTTTATAGAAACCATAAGCGCGTGTTGAAGTCCTATTTGATCTCTCAATGGGATTTTTATTTTCCTTTCCTTTTTTTTTTATTTGAATTTAAATCAGAATTGATTGCAAAAAGATTATACAAATACTAGTCTAAATACGTGCCCTCGAACAATTGAATAAAAATAAATAAATAAATAATCCAATAATATGTCGCCATGTCATACAATGGGTGTAATATTGAGAGTATATAAATATTACGGAGTAAAATATTTTGTAATCTTTGTGTCTATTATTGGCATTAGTCCATTGCTTCTGACTAATTTCCAGTTTTCTTTCTAATGATTTAGGACTTTAATTTTGGATTCTTTCTCATGTATTAAAGAATTTTTTTTATTTTTTATTTTTGACATCTTCTTTTGACCTGCTTGTTAAGACATTTTGGGTTCTCCATTCTCTTTATGTTTCTTTCTTAGGTCTAGAATTAATGAATTTTCTTTAAAAAAAAGATATTTTTTATTTTCTTTATTTTGGATTCCTTTAATGGAAGACCAAAATTTTACATTGTAACAAGTAATAAGATATTAATTAATATAAAATTATTAAGAAAGTGAAGTAATTCTAATCGTGGTAACTATTAGAAGTTAACATGTCTTTTTTTTGTTTTTTTGAAAATACAAAAGGGAGGGGGAACCCAAGGCTGTGGGACAAAAACGAAACAACCTACTCCGTCTCAAGCATGAGACGATCGCTCACAGCCCCCATCTGATCATTATAAACAAGAGTATTACATCCAGGGGAGAGGATACAAAAATAATACAGGACTCCGCCTTGTTAGCAGCGAACGTAGCTAAAAAGTCAGCAACAGAATTTTACTCACGAAAGACATCCACCAACGCCGTGCTACCACGTCTATGAAGTAAGTCTATTCATAATTAACATGTCTCTTTAAAAAATATAAGAAGTTAACATGTTTTAAAGTCGATTAACTTAATATTCTTGTTTTAAAAATTTTGTTTTAAAATAATATAAAGTAGACATAGTAATATAGAGCCACGTAGGCTCCAAACCCAACAATCCAAAGATAACATTTGTAAGCATTTTTAAGTGGAAATCGAAACCTAAAAGAGAATCAGAGAATCTGAATAATGTGTTGTAAGGAATAATAATGATAATAATAATAATAATAATAATAATAATAATAATAATAATAATAATAATAATAGAAGAAATAGTGGGACGTGGTTTCCCAGTCGCACGTGAGTGATGAAATGCGAGTGGAGTGGTGGGCCCCGCCGTTGTAGGTTAAAAAACTTTCTTTGAGGAATAGAATCAGTCCGCCGGCCTCTTTACACGTCCTATACGTGGTCCAGCCAACTGGAAGGCACATTCTCCATTTTACCCTCACTTTTATTTCAAATTATGCTAGTCACCACCGGGTATATGGTCCAATAATAATACGGCGTCAGCCGCCGCCTCAAAATGTATATAAATAGTGGGGAAAGAAAAATAATTAATTGGGAGAGTACACGGAAGGAAGACAGAACGCCAGAATTGACCAAGTAGTTAAGGGCGATGAGTAATTGACAGCTTTAGTTTAGAATAGTGTGTGGTCCAACGACGTTACAATTTCCACATGAACAAAATGGGGTCGTTTCCCAAGTACTAAGCAGCTGCCAAGCAAATGCCTTGAAAAAGCAATGGCTTATGAAGTCCAACCATACCTCGGATGCTCCGTGACGTTTAAGTTCAACTGGAAGACAAAACATTAATTTTAGAAACTATTTCCCAACTTGAGGTTTAAAAATAAAAAATAAAAAATAAAAAATAAAAAATAAAACAATTATGGACTCCAACCTCCATTATCTCACTCAATCTTATTATTATTATTATTATTATTTTTTTACAATAATCTGAATTATTTAAGTTATTTTTTTAGATCCATCGGTAGTTTGATGGAACAAATTGATACGGGATATGTAATTATATTATATGGATCAATAAGCTGGCATACAATATAAAAGGGGTAAAAATATAAAGGCTAATAGAATTGCAATAGTATTTACCTTGTTGATATAAGTATATTACAAGTAGATTGTAAGAATAGAGCATGTTATGGTAATAATTGTACAAGACTAATTTATACAAAGGAAATTTTAACTAATCTAGCTAAATCCGTGGTGGATCACAAGACTAAGTCAAGGCCCATCATTCCCGGCCTATACTCGTCCGATATGATCGGTCGAGTCAAGGGCTTCGAGTTGAATCACCAGAGTTATATCGCTCTGAAGGCCACCTTGTACAATAACAGATTTACCGACGGCAGATCTACAACTCTACAGGAAGAACTGGTCACTCTCCTCATGTTGCTGATGTTTTATGTGTTCCATTTTTTCATCAAATCGGAGATGTGTTCCATTTTTTCATGCTTATGCAAGTGGTGTCTACGTAAAAGACAGAGGTAATAAGGGGCCGATTTGACTTCGAGAAGATGCTCGTCAGGTCAAGATGAAAAGTAATACTTATCCTGGAATTGTTATACTAATCATGAATAAATTGTATGTTACATATAAGGAGAAAGTGTAATACTTTTGAGGGTTTCAAAATGTAATATTTTGAAGTTGAATCGTTACATATAAGAAAAAAAACGTTATATTAATTAAGATAATTTGATTTATTGTTATTTATGAGAGAAAATATAATACTTATGAAAACCCAACTCGTCTCTCTATGAGATAGCGCTAAAGTTATATATATATATATATATATATATATATATATATATATATATATATACTAGTATTTGACCCGTGCGATGCACGGGATGTTATTTAAGTATTTTTAGTTGTGCGTGTTTTATGTTAAGATTTGTGTTATATATTGGGAAATACAATTTCGACACGTAATCAAATTGTGTCTTACTAATAGTTCAAAGATGTTGTCAATATAAAAACAATATATTACAAAATTACAAATTATTGAAAACTTCATGATATACAACATTAGTGGTTGATGCGATTATTATTAATCATTAGAACATGTAAATGACACCAGGGTCCTAAATTCCAAAAAAAGGTATCATTGGATACTATTTTTATACCTAGTTCTGAGTCTGGGGTTTTATTTAAGTCGAATGAATGATTGTGGCGCCGGGTAATAGGTGCTCTTTCACGCTCATGGTCAAACCTTGCGGAATTTCCTTTAATTATATAAGAGTCGTACATAACACTTGTTAGAATGTTAATTATCACATTTTTTAAAATATGGTACAATAAAAATGTGTGTTTAGGTTCGTACTATTGGATATGTTGCTTAATGGTGTTCTGCTACCCGAATCTTGCAAAGGGGAATTACGAATTGTTGTCCGAATTGCGCTTGAAGCTGTCAATTTCACATTAAAAACATGTTAGCAACAATTAATTATAATCTTGCACAATCGTATAGAACACTATTACCATTTGTCACAATACTTAAAGGCGTACTTAACGAACTTTGGAAAACACCACGTAGGGGTGTACGATTGTGTGTATTGTTGCCGAATTCAACGGACGACATGTACGATTCATCACTGACCCCTCGATTATCATTCTCTGTAAAAAAAAAACAATGATATAATTATATATATATTGTATATTTGGTGTCACAATTTTTTTAATTCATACAGATTCCGAATTTACTCCTTAAATGATAGTTTGTAAAGGATGGATTTACTTTAAATGTCTAGAGTTTATAAACATTTGATGGACACAAATCGCAATAATAACAAATTAATATAATAACATACTATTATAAAAATTGCACTAATATTAAAAAACCTAATAATATTAGAAAATCCACAATTTCTGGGCAGTGTTAACTATACTGCCTAATTAATATTAATATTAATTATAATAATAATAATAATATTCAGATTAATAATAATAATATTAATACAAACATACGGACACCACTACCGCACTACCGGTTCTAAGCACCCGCATTTCCACCAACATCACTACTCTCTCTGTCTCTCATTGCGTAGATGCACTCCCATTGCTCATGTTCTTCACTCTGGAATTGTTTGAACAACATCTCCAGAAATTCTACCCGAAGACCATGCGAAATTAAAGATTTACCTGGGCTTTACGTTAATATCTCAGCGTTGATGTTGGTATCCTCTGTCAATTTTTGATTTCTACAAACCCCAGTCCGTGGGGATCTATACGATCTAGCGCAAACTACTACAAATTCTTAGATGAATTTCCTATTCCGGTAAGTTATCTACAATATCGCTCAGTTAATTCCATTTCTATGAAACAATTATGCACAATTAGAGTAGATACCGTGAAACCTAACTGTTGAGGCTTTGTTTAACTACTAAGTCCCATTAAAGTGTAGATATGTTGAAATCCTTCATTGTTAATCGCATGCATCTGTAATCTGAGAAAAAAATGGATTTTAAACAAAGTATCTATCTATCTTGGGGGATTCAAAGTTTTAACCTGTATTTTTGTGTGTGTATTTTTTCTTTGAATTTGTTGTTTGCATATTTATTTTAAAAGATACTATAATATTTGTCAGGTGAATGTTGGGATGAAGAAAAAGTGGGTTTTGATTTCTAAACCTAATTCTTTTCAGCTTCCTTAATCGTTTTTAATATCTGTAGTATTGTTTACAAAAATCGTATAGTTTTTGTATAAACTAAGACAGAATAGTATAACTGCAAAAAGAGTGCTTAGATTTACCTTGGTTGTTGCTTGGATGCTTGCGCTTCGAACCAATGGTGGTTGAAGATGTAAGTTTCCTCATGTATTCTAGGGGAGATGAATTGCCAAGTTAGGGATTTCTGTAGATGTGGTTTTAACAGAGGTTTATAATATGTGGTTGTTAAATATATAGCTGCAACTTAGTCCATTAATATTTGCAGACAACCTTGGAAAATGTCAATTATAATTGCTTTTGGAATACTAAAAGGTTTTGATCAGATAGTTAATGTAATGTGCCATTAATATATTAGCTGATTGATATTCTTACTACTTGTTTTTCCCTACTAAACTGTATTTCTGAACTTTTTTTGGATTCGAATAATGAACCTTATTTATCTAATATATGTTGTTTTGCAGGTCACAATCACTGTAGAATCTTGGGATTAAGAGACTAAAATTTGGATGAAAATAAGTTGCTTTGTATTTGTACCTTAGTATGGTTATCCTTCAGATCATCTGCGCTGATTCCAAGTAGATCGAGGCACTCCCGGTCCCATAGAAGGAAAGGAGCATTGCCATCCAAATCCACAACCCTAACCTTAATTCTGTACCTGAGTGTCCCGTCACCCCAATTTCGATCACATGTACTACACCATAGCCACTTTCCTTTGAGTTTCAGTTTTTTGTTGCACCCCTTTGTTCTACAGGAAGCATAGTACCACTCTGGATCATCAATGAATACAATCCTAGCTGCCACCCAAAAATCGCCAAACTGCATCATATGAAAGAATGTTAGTCCACTTTAAAACATTAACCAAATCAGTATATGAGTACTTATTTTTATAGTATCCAGGTGAAGACCATTTTGTCTATAACACTAATTAACCCATGAATATGTGTTTGATTGTGCAGGTATGTGGACAAAAACACAAGACCTGAAAGCAAATTAGTGGACTGCTCACTGGTGGAATATCAACAATTAGTGGACTATCAACAATTAACACCATAGCTGAAAGAGATAAGTACTTAGTGGTGGAGGGACAGTTTGTAGTCAGATTATTGTTAATATTTATGCATTAAAGCTATAATGTTATAGACCACATTGTCTTACTATTATTCCATACAATTCTTATGGTAAAATACAGGTTAAAAAGCCAAGAAGATGGACCTAGTCTACAACTTTGAGCAGAACTGAAAGGCTGATTGAAATGAAAAGAGTCCACATAGGTATTGTTTTAAAATCCTAATTGAGTTAATATCACAACATAATACAGATTAGGTATACCCTAGGCAGTTTCTGACTATTGAATAAATTTCTAAGACAGGTATATATCCCAAGAAGTGGGATACAGTGTGCACCATGTCAGCAGAACTTCAAAAGGGACTGAAATCATATTCAGTGCATATAAAGGTATAACACAGCAGTATACAGTTGCTCACAACTCTATTATATTTCCATATGAATTATATTTTTAAGTGCATAATGCTATGATCTGTCAACGTTAGAAGGAATTGTATGGTAAAATAAAATGAATAGGATCTATGTTGGTTAAACCCAGTATTACCTCCTTATCCCTGTAGATGTCATTGATAGTACGAACTTCCATATCAGCTCCTAGGGAAACAGAATATGAGCTACATTCTTGAAAACTTGACTGGGAAATTATACTGCGCATGGGAGTCTGTTCTTGGCAAATACTGGAAAAACATAACCTAAAATGAGCAACAATAATAGTTGTAAAACTTCATGTAGAACAAAAAAATTTCAGGGTACCTTTTCCTGAACTCTTCAAATGGGGGAGATTCTTGGTTGAATAGCAGCTGTGTTACATCATAGGAGCTACAAATCTTTACATCACCACCTTTAAGAAGAACATTGTATATAGAGATTAGAAAAGCTTCTTGGTTAATAAGATAGTAGATAGTCGATAGGAGAAGTTATACGATTTACTGTACTTACTTTTTAGGCACACCCTTGCCGTGCAAAACTGGATCAGGACCAACAGTGGTTCTTGTGTAGTAGAATTGTAGAATGCCTCAATCTTGCTCACATGCTCATCCCACAAAGTACACATTAGTTGTATTCCACTGAAAATGATTAGAAACATATTAGAAACAAAGCCAAGTGTAAAATATATTCAAAATCATAGGCACTGGATCACAGTATTACTCAGTATCTTCAATACTGATTACCAAATAAGCTTTTCTCATCCAGGCCTTCGTTAGACTTGATCTCTCTGAAGGTCTTGAGCCGATACATTTTCATAGGAAACTTAACATGCTTTAAATCCTTAACAACAGTCTGATAGTTAAATTTGATCATGTACTTCTGTGGGCTAGTTTTGTAGGAGTAAAAATTTGTGATAACACAAAAATTTTTGATAGCACACACTGAACCTTCCACAAAACTGTTAAGGTACTTATCCACGTACTCTTTGGGTATATGAGCGTGCAAGAAGGACCCCTATGTATGTGTAAATAACAAAGAAAGGGACTATAAAATATGGGAATATGTAGAAAAATATGTACTGGGTCTAAATTTGTAGTAAAAAAATGAACCGTAGAATTGAATAAACTGTATATCTAGATTTAAAGAATACATACCTCTTCATCATGGAAAACAACTTCTTTTGACCTAAACTTCGAAGTATCAGTTCTTTCAGGGATCTTATATGCTCGCACCACCCGAAGCTTAAGAGCCTGCCTGGTATTCATGGGAGATATCTGGCTAGCAAGAACAAACATTTTTTGCTATTCAAGAAGAATCAGAGAGGCTTTGTAGAGGGAGATTGTATTTTGTATTAATAGTTGTACATGCGTTGTATATATAAGGTCTGATGACCTTCGTTATTGATCGTAACCATCCTGATCAATAAATACCTAGAGAATAGGTATGGGTTAGTGGGCTCAATGTCCGATATGAACAATTGATTACCTTAAATACATTCTCTAATCCCATTGGATGAGAGAATGATTTGGGTAGATATATTGAAAAAATTAGGTTTCCTATATACATGGAGCTAGTATAGTGCGCAGTCGATTGGTTTTCCGAAACAAAAAAAATAAATTCATAGTGATTACCTTAAATACATTCTCTAATCCCATTGGATGGGAGAATGATTTGGGTAGATATATTGAACAAATTAGGTTTCCTATATACATGGAGCTAGTATACTGCGCAGTCCTTTGGTTTTCCGAAGCAAAAATAATAAATTCATAGTGTTTGCCCAAAACGGCGTCGTTCATGTTGGGCGGGAACTTTTTGCTCCTATTGTTTTGCTTTAATATATATATATATATATATATATATATATATATATATATATATATATATATATATATATATATATATATATATATATATATATATATATATATATATATATATATCTAAAAACATAATAAGTCTCAATCAAAGTTATACCCTTCATTTATTTCCATGTTTTTAATACTAAACATTTTGTACATTGTGCTTTTAGAGTTGTACTATACAATTTTTTGGACAAAAATATCCTTACCCCGTTATAACTTCCGTTATCTTTTACATTACTTTTACCATACACTTGCATCTACCACATCTTTTCTTATATTCTTTAATTATAACAATATTTGTAAAACATTATATATTCATTATATATTAAATTAATATAATAATTAGATTATAATTAGTAAAAATTTGTTAGCTATTTTTAAAAATATAAATATTGGGCTTATATGTTTGCGCATCGCGCATAGAAAAGACTAGTGTATATATATATATATATATATATATATATATATATATATATATATATATATATAATTATTATATGTGTGGGACCTTTACTTGTGTGTGACTCTTCGGGTTTAATTTTGATGTCAAATTAAAGAAGAGTAAATTTCATTTTTAGTCCTCGACTATTATGACATTTGATAGTACTAATTCTCGGTTGTACTCGTAGAATATATGTACCGTATATAATATGTATGAACAGTGTAATAGACAAGAAGATGTAGAACAAAGTGAGTTCTTTTATTCATGATGTTCTTGTTCCCCATTGTATAGAGAGAGGGGAGAGCTTATATCTTCGAGAGAGAAAGTGGAGGAGAGAGGCCCCTAATTTAGAGGGCCAATGCCCTATTTAAAGGGTCAAGGTTTGACGGGTTGACCTTGACCCGTGGACCGGGACCCGAACCGTTTGACCTCGACCCAAGCAGGAGCACGGAGCGTATGGGGAGCCTGAATCCAGGGTATATTCCCCATCAAGAGTCCCCCCAGTCCATGCCCTGACGATGAGTTAATGAAGAAGGGGTTGGACTGGAAAAAATTGGCTACACGGTCCGTGACACGCGCCGGTTGTCTCGTTAAAAAACCTTAGACTAGGAAAAAACCCAGTGAGAAAAACAAACTAGCTTAGGGAAAAAGAATACAACCCTAAACACAGTCTTTTGGACCATAAGGGGTCGACTAAGCTCTACCGATTTAGGGATCGAATTTGCAACGTGACTCGAGAGGTCGAAACCTACCGATCTGGCGATCGTGATGTTAGCTAAGATCGGGAGATCGAGTTAACTACGATCTAGAGGTCTACTTTACCGATCTACCGACCGGGAGGTCGGATTAATTTGCGATTTAGGGATCGAGCTTTCTACAATCAAACACTAGGAGACCCGATGGTCTAACGATAGCGAGATGCGCTCGGTTTACGAATTGAAAGTCCTAGACAGAGGGACACTTGGAGACCCGATGGTCCAACGATAGCGAGATCGGGAAGTTCGTTTTGCTCGGGATGCACTAGGCGCTAGGAAACCCAAAGGTCGAACGAAAATGAGACCGGGAAGGTCGTTTTTTATCGGGAATCGATGACGAGACCGAGGAGGTCGATCTATTCTTTTGATCGGGATGTGATGACTGGACTAGGAAAGTCGGTCTACTCAAGAAGCGCTTTGGCGAACGAGCTAAGGCGGTCTACTCGGGAAGCGCTTTGGCTACTCAGGATATACTTTAGCGAAGCGAACGAGCTACTCGACCGATCTACTCGGGAAATACTTTAGCGAAACAAACGAGCTACTCGACCGATCTACTCGGGAAATACTTTAGCGAAACAAATGAGCTACTCGACCGATCTACTCGGGAAATACTTTAGTGAAACGAACGAGCTACTCTACCTATGTAGCCCCCCACTCCATTAGGTGCGAGAATCATTAGCATAAGGGAGTAGATACGATGGGTTTTCGAGTTCGCCTTTTAACTTTGACTGCGATCGAGAAGTGACCCGATCGAGCTTACGATGCCAATGCACCGGGACACACTCATAGTGCCGACGATCGGGAAGTGACCCGATCGAGCTCACAGTGCCGGTGTACCACCCCGACCGATTTTGCCTAATTTGTATGACGCTTTGGAACTTAACTAGATCTAAACTTACCGATCAAGGGATCGGACCTCTCACACGATAGAGGATTTACATGCTACCAACCACGCGATCGTAAGATCGGAGCCTCGTCCGATACAAGTTTACGCGACATTGCGGTCGTAAGATCGGAGCCTCGTCCAATTGATCCGGAGATCAAAATTGCCTACATGGCAGGACATGATGCCGAGACTTTTCCCAAGCTTAACTATGCCGATGGTGGCGGGGTCAACCTGACCGAACTTTTTTATACCGGTGGTGGATATACCAACTTAACCAAGCTTAATTTACATACTTTTTTTTACAATTTTTTAAGTATAAGTACATAACTTATACAAATTATAATCTAGCCTATACATTTTATAATCTAAAACTATACTACGACCCCTTTTTAATTTGTGGCCTGACTAATCTAATTTGGACTTTAGAAATTTCATATGTAGCCGACTCTAATTTGTGAGTGTGACCAATATTATGTAGCCCATTCAGTAATATATGCGCAAATTATGCAGTGGACTCGTGTCCACAATGCATTGTGGACACGAGTCCAAAACGATGTCGTTTTCAGGAAAAACGCGTCATTTCAGTTAAATTTTTTTTTTTTTTAATTTTGTCTCACCGTTAACGGTGTTATTCATTTGTGCCATTATGATTGTACAGTTATGAGATTATGAATGTACAGTTATGGAATTATGAATGTAAGTTATAAAATTATGAATACAGAGCTCTGACATTATGAACTTACAATTATGAACATATAGTGATACAATTATGAACATAGAGCTCAAAAATTGTGAACATCGAGCTTTGAAAATTATGATTTTACAGTTACGGAATTATGAATGTACAGTTATTCAATTATGGATGTACAGTTATGAAATTATGAACATAGAGCTCTGACATTATGAACTTACAATATGAACATATACTGATAAAATTATGAACATAGAGCTCTAAAATTGTGAACATAAAGCTTCGAAAATTATGAAGTTACAGTTATTGAATTATAAATGTACAGTTATGGAAGTATGAATGTACAGTTATGGAATTATGAACATAGAGCTCTGACATTATGAACTTACAATTATGAACATAGTAATAAAATTATAAACATATACTCCTATAACGAAGCGGTCAAAAAGAAGAAGATAATAGTGCCTAACGGCACTGTTACCAGTGTCCATCATGCATGCATGCTGGACACGGGTCCATAGCATAACGATTGGTAATATATGTTATAGAATTAAAAATGTTCGCCCGTGCATGGCAATTCAAAAAATCACGTGAACGGTGCCAGGGCCGTATTTTAAGTTTTGGTGGCCCTGTTCTAGTAAATAAATGTGGCCCTACCAAAATCATAATTTTTAAAACTAATACATGCAAGTTTCGAACCTTTGACCTCCAAGTTAAAATACAATAAATACACATTCTTACCATCTCTTCATGAAACCTTTAAAGTTTAATTGAAAACTTTTTAATTTTTATTTTTAAACTAGCTAGGTAAAAATTAAATATTGAACCTCTAAAATTTGGGGCCCCTCTAAAATTGGGGGCCCTGTGCGGTAGCCCAGCTTGCACAGCCTAAAATCCGGCCCTGAACGGTGCCATCACCGATCGCGCCGACCACGGATTTGGATCTAGAGACGGCTAACTGGAGATCTTCTTCGCTCAGGAAAAATCGTATCGGCAATCTGCTCTGAGAAGCAATCTTGGATTTGGCTACAGAACACTAGCCTTGAGAAGCTGAGAATCTTGTGAAAAAACCTCATTTTTACCATTTACAACTCTTGAGCTTAGAAAATGCACGCCAACAGGGGAGATGGCAGCTGCGCATGCAACACTTCCTGATTTCTCCTCTGTTCTTGATAAAAGTAATACAACGTTGACTGCGGGAGATACAAATAAAATGGACACGGGAGGAACTGCATGCGTATAATGTTGATATGGAAAGCCTGAGGCAACATCACCTATACAATGCCATTTCTGATATCCAGTATAGTGCCGCTGTTGATGAAGCGTGACTGTGTATGTTCATGAAGTGGCTTTGGCTTGCGCTTGGAGGCTGGAGTTACACGCTGTAAATATACTCTGAGCGACGGAGCAGCGGCGAAGCTGCATCTTCCGACGAACTAAATCAGCGGCCTGGAGGGATAAAATCTCCGGTCCCTTCTTCTTCTCTTCGCATTGATCAGGAGTGTGAGGATGACGATTTGATGGACGATCATCTGCATGCAGCTGCTTCTTTATCTAGATTGCGCAAGGAAACAAAGATGGCCTCCCCTGGATTTTCAAGTGGCAACAAGCAGAGGAAATGAAATAGTGAGCAGAGTGGTGTAGCGGTCGAGGCACTTGCTTGACAATTTGAACGTCTGGGTTCAAGTCCTTCTAATTCTAGAACTTTTGGGTTTGGATTTTTCTAACTCCAAATGTTAAAACCCAGGCCGGTCCTATCATTCTATAGGCACAGGGCATAGCAACAAAAATAAGCCCTATATTAAATTAATATATATTTTTATAACTAAAATATAAATTAAATAAGAAAAAAATAGTAATGTCCAATAACTTAAATAAGATTTACAAGTTTTTAACAATTTTACATACACATAAAAACAATTATAGA